GCTTGCAATGTGATGCGATGTGTCTCTCACGATGTTGGTGCGTCATGGCGGTGAGTCCGTCCCAGCCGGCACTCTCATTGGCTGGAGACGGGTTGGACTCACCTGGAAGTTGTGGATGGGGTTGGGGGTGGGCAGCCAGGTGGAGCGGGGGTTCTCCTGGGAGCGGAAGGGCCCGTTGAAGGCCTGAGTGATGGCGCTCAGGTTGAAGGCGCACACCGCGGACGCCGCGATGCTATTTCTGTGAGAGGGGGAGTAAAGACATCCAGATTATATGATATATGTGAAGCCTTCAATGGAGTTAATAGATCCCCACAGTCTCCTAAAGACCTCACCTCCTAGAGACCTCTTCTCCTAGACACCTCACCTCATAGGAGACCTCACCTCATAGGAGACCTCATCTCCTAGAGATCTCATAGGAGACTATCTCACAGAGACCTCACCTCCTAGAAACCTCACCTCATAGGAGACCTCACCTCATAGGAGACCTCATCTCCTAGAGATCTCATAGGAGACTATATCACAGAGACTTCATCTCCTAGAGACCTCACCTCCTAGAAACCTCACCTCATAGGAGACCTCATCTCCTAGAGACCTCACCTCATAGGAGACCTAATTTCCTAAAGATCTCATAGGAGACTATCTCACAGAGACCTCATCTCCTAGAGACCTCACCTCATAGAGATCTCATCTCCCAGAGACCTCACCTCTTAGAGACCTCCCCTCCCAGAGACCTCATCTCCTAGAGACCTCACCTCCTAGAGACCTCATCCACTAGAGACCTCACCTCATAGGAGACCTCATCTCCTAGAGATCTCACCTCATAGAGATCTCATCTCCCAGAGACCTCACCTCTTAGAGACCTCACCTCCTAGAGACCTCACCTCCTAGAGACCTCATCCACTAGAGACCTCACCTCATAGGAGACCTCATCTCCTAGAGACCTCATCAGCAGCAAATTCCACAAAACAAGGAGTGACGTCACAATGATGACGGCTTTGAGCTGTGATAAGTGATAAGAGTTTGGATCTTGTGAGGCTTGAATTGAAGGATCCAGACCTCAGTTATCAGGATCAATAACTCCAGAGATCCGTCAGCAACAAAGACCAGAAGGTCCAGCTGCTGGTCCTGCACAGTGAGGAGCACTCACACGTTGGTGGTGAAGATGCCGTAGAGGAGGTCCTGCTCGGGCAGGTAGAAGGTGCTCTGCAGCTCGTTGTAGTAGAAGGGGATCTCCCCGGAGCGGGAGCAGTTGAGGCGGGCCTTCATGAAGGTGGTCCAGGTGTCCTCCAGCAGGAAGCGCCCCCCCATGTCGTTCTTGCAGACCCGAGCCACGCGGGAGTAGACCGTCCTCCCGCAGTCGTGCTCCACGGCGTTCTCCCGCAGGAAGAAGAAGGTGAAGAGCCCGATGTCGTAGGCCGAGATGAAGTGAGGCTCTGTGGGGGGACGAGAGAATGAAATGAAGCAGGAAGAGAGGAAACCAGGATTCCATTCCACATCTAATAAAACGATCAAAACACATCAGATCATTGTTATGGTTGTTATTATGCATGAGACCCAAAGATATCATGTAACATCAAACAAGTGGACGAGTGAGTGTTGCCAATTACTGTAAAAAAAGAGACTCTTTCCCTGCAGCTAAAAGGCTAATTGTGTTCGTGCATGTTTCAGCTAAAGGAGAGCACTGTGTGTGTGTGTTTACATCCCATCCCACATTGCACACGTTCACACGCCAGCTTCACGTCAGCTTCAAAGGCCAGTTTCACGTCAGCTTCAAGTGAGCTTCAAACCCCAGCTTCAAACGCCAGTTTAACGTCAGCTTTACGTCAGCTTCATACGTCAGCTTCAAACGTCAGCTTCAAACGTCAGCTTCAAACGCCAGCTTCACGTCAGCTTCATAAGTCAGCTTCAAACGTCAGCTTCAAACGCCAGCTTCACGTCAGCTTCACGTCAACTTCAAACGCCAGCTTCACGTCAGCTTCATAAGTCAGCTTCAAACGTCAGCTTCAAACACCAGCTTCACGTCAGCTTCAAAGGCCCGTTTCACGTCAGCTTCAAACACCAGCTTTACACCAGCTTCAAACGCCAGGTT